TCCTGTAGTCAGCCGCTGGTCAGTTTCAGCAGCGGCTGAAATGGGGACACTTGGGGTACAATATGTACCAGTTCCGACTTACATACAAATTCAACTTAAGAACAAACCTACAGTCTCTATCTTGTACGTAACCCGGGGACTGCCTGTACTGTACTTGACCAAAACTAAAAAGGCAACTTCATTCTTTTTCAAGAGTCCTTTTTTTAAATCTGCAGAATCACAAGTAATCTCTGTAATTTTCTTGTGTCCATCCATCTTCAATTTCTCTAGATACCGCAGGCAAAAAGAGCATCGAGGTGTCCCCTGGGGTTTAAAAGCTGCGTTGATGCTTTTGAATTAGTGCCCAGGGTGCAATCCCACGGCCTGAAATGAATTCTGCAAGGCTGGTTATCAAGGCATGTTGAAAAATATGCCAATATTCAACATCTTCTGCAATTAATCAAATTGTTTGGTAAAAAGAGAATGAGCTAAACAGACATTCCGGCTGTGTCTACTCTGGCATGAATTTCCGGAACTGCTTAAACGGAATACTATTCTGTTTTCAGTTTTTCCGGAAAAGGAGCGTCTACATTGGCAGGCTGCTTTTCCGGAAAAGCCCTTTTTCCGGAAAAGTGTCTGTGGCCAATGTAGACGCGCTTTTCCGGAAAAGAGCCCCGACTGCCATTTTCGCGATCGGGGCTTTTTTCCGGAAAAGACTACTGGGCTGTCTACACTGGCGCTTTTCCGGAACAGTGTTCTGGAATAAGGACTTATGCCCGAGCGGGAGCAGAATAGTTTTTCCGGAATAGCGGCTGATTTTGTACAGTAGAGCATCGTTGCTTTTCCGGAAATTCAAGGGCCAGTGTAGACAGCTCGCAGCTTAATCCAGAAAAGCGGCTGATTGTCCGGAATAAGTGGCCCAGTGTAGACACAGCCTCCATGTTTTGGGAAATGTATGGTGACATTTGGCTGCGTTAAGTACGTACATGGTTCTAGTCTCTCCAACTCTTCAGACCAGGTAGAATCAATTGGTATAATGTATTCTAAACACACCAGTGACGTGATCTGGTGTATGTCAGATGTGAGTTCATCCCATAATCTATCGTTTGTGGGGTTTGTTCTGATTTTCCACAATTTCTCGTTTAGCTAGAGTAATTCTGGTAAAGTATCTATGTTGTCTTGGTGCATGAATAGCTTCCTATATCTTTTATATCCATAGTTACATCAAAATAAGTGCTCATTTTGGGCTCCCTACTCCTATAGCTCTCTTCATGAGACACACTTGGAAAGGGCCTGAAATCTTGGTTTAAAGTTTTTATTGTTGCATTTCGTTGGAGAGGGGAGGCAAGCTGTTGTATGGATTCTGATGTTTCCTTTGAGATTTAGATGTACATACCACATGATGTTATCCTGTGATGGTATATTCAAAACCTAATAAAAACGAGAAGCAAAAGTGTAGCATGAGTAATTTTTTAAACCCATGTGAAAGTAACACGCAGTGGCACATGTACCAGTCGGATGCAGGAAAATCTGGGGTAGATTTATTTTAGTTATAAATGGATTTTTGTTAAATGAAATGGTTGCATTTTTTCAAGATTTCCCCCACTTTCTATAACCTACATTACAAGATATATTTAAAAAAAAAAGCTTCCACAATTTTTTTGTTTTTTAAAAAAGCTGTCTTTCAATATTCAAAAGCTTCAGAGGGGTAGCCGAGTTAGTTTGTAACAGGAAAAACTTAAAGTTGTTTGAGTATTTCAATATTCAGTGGCACCAACTTGATGCTTCTTTAATGTTGGCTTACTTATTTAATAAAGAAATTGGTAGCTTGCTAGACACACTATCCCCTGTCTGCTTTTGCTAAAGAAGAGAGGCAAAGCTTACTTCACTATATGTATGCAGAATTACACATTTATCCCAGGTGATAAGTGCTTGCTAGACTCTACACCTCCAGATGCATGGCAGTCACAAATTTCATTTGTTGGTTGTAACCCTTTTAAGACTAGTTGTTTTTATTTCATAGCAATTAATACAAAGATTATGTGTTCTTTCCTAGACCTCAGAATATATTATTCAAGCCTACAAGTATGGTGCATTTGAGAAGATCCCAGAATTCATTGCTTTTAGAAATAGGCTGGACTCCTCACTTCACTTTGCACAAGTCCGCACTGAACGGATGTTGTTAGACCTTTTACTTGAAGCAAATATGTAAGTATGGTGCAGACGAGTACAGTAAACCAGTCAGGGATTCTGCATGGGGAGGACAGCCTTTCCTGATGAAACGCTTTTTTCCTACCCGATAAAAGTTATTGGAATTGTTTTCCTTACAAGCCTTAAACCTGGACTACACTAGAAAACTAGATTGGCTTAACTGTGTTGCTTAGGTGTGTGAAAAATCCACACCCTTGAACAGCAAAGGTAGGCCAACCTAAGTCCCTGCATAGGTTGACAGAAGAATTCTTCCATTAACCTAGCTACCTCTTCTTGGGAAGGTGGATTGCACGATTGCTGTGCTGCTGTAGCATAATAAGGGTAGATAAGCCCTTAGTTTCCCCATCTGTAAAATGTGTTGCATTATTAGGGTACCTCAAAAGGATGTTGGAAGGTTTAATGTTTGAGGTGCTCGGAGGAAAGATGCTATTGAAGTACAACATATTTCGTTATAAGAAATGAGACTATTTATCCTATAGTTCTAATTGCTCCAATACTACCTGAGTACAAGCTCCAATTAGTCCGCGTCAGTTGCTAGTTGCTGTCCCCACCAGCATTATCTCTTCAACATGAGTAGATAGAATTGTCTTTTGTCTTTTTATCAATATAAAATAAAAAATCTGTGACCCATCCAGTGTCCCTCTAAGCTGCATGTCAGCCTGGCTTCACAGGTGATTCATCAGCCCCGCCCAGTCAGAGGCTCAGGGCTCCCTGCATGGAGCTGACTGACTGGGCAGGATTGATGAATCACCTGTGAAGCTGTGCTGCCCCACAGCTTAGAGGGAACACTGGACACATCTATTAGGGATGTTGAAATATGATTATTAAGGTAAACATGTAAACTGGGGAGCCGCCTCCACGCACTGCTGCCTCTGTATCAGAGGCAGCAGTGCAGAGGGAGGCTGTGTGTAATGGTGAAGGTTAACTATTTAAACATTTACAAGATCACATCCCTAATATATATGGTAGTTAAGCTATGTGCTCTGTAGAGAATATAGACTGTATCTGTGGGTTGGGCTTTCACCTCAACTATTAAGCATTTGGTTTAATAATACTAATATTTATGTGTTAGATCAACCAGTTTAGAAGAAAGTATAAAGTCCATGAGTCTGAGTCCAGAGGAAGATGACATTCCTTGGAAAGATTTGCATGACAACCGAGACCTTAAGGTCTTATTAAATTGGGATCCAAAAGACAGGTGAGTATAACAGCTGAGAACTGCAGGGGTCAGCCTTTCAGAAATGTGTTTTATAGAGAAAATCATTTCAAGATAAATTCCAAGTATCTCTTAAATATTTTCTAGGCTGGACAATTTGTGCAGATTTAACAAGAGCATCATTCACAGTTTTTAACAGTGTCTCACTTTGCTCATTGACATTAATACCATTCCCTGACTTTCCAGTCATTTACACCTCTCCTCATGTGATTCCAAAGCTTTGCACCAGACTAGGATAAAGGATGTTCATGGAAGCTTGCTACTGTTGCAAAACATTCGTCTAAAAACGTTTGGTGCCTTTCTCTAGGGACATTTCTGAGGTGCATAGGAAACTGTCGTTGGAGGAAGAAACCATCTGGTTGCAAATCCGATCTTTAACTTTAAGACTAGTAAGCGGACTCCCAACTCTTAATCATACTGTTCACCCAAAAAACTCTGAAAAGACTGCTGAGAATGGTGTCTCATCCAAAATTGATACAATACGGTCCCTGCTTCAACAACTGGAAGTAGCAGTGGATTCAGGGAAGCGGTTTCTTGAGCAGAATATCCAGGTACTTGTTAAGGAAAAGTGATCCCAGAATCTTTAATGACCATGAATGCAAACACAGAAACTCTGTGAATCTTGTAAAGTGCTTCAAAATTCACTTAATTGATCCTGAATTTGTAGTGTGTGAAATCTGAGATGTCAGACACCAATGCTATTTTCTGTTTAAGGGCAACATCTTTTTTTTTCCCCCCATTTCTTGCCTAGTATCCTGTCCTTGGCCCTCCTCCGACCCGAATGGCTGGCTTCTTCAGTAATGGCAGCTGTCAGTGCCAGACTAGCTTGTTTTATCTTGTTAGTGATATTTATGAACTAGATACCAATGGCTTAGGTAAGTGTTTGGGTTGCAGGAACGTTAAGCCAATTTGTGTGGAGTGTTGCATGGGGTGGAAGTATCCATAGAGTTTCGAAATGGCTCTGCGTTTAGTGAATAAACTCTATTAATGAGTTGGAAACAAACTTATAAACCAACCCTGTGTGTGTGTGGTTTTTTTGTTTGTTTTGGGGGGGGGGGGTTAGGGTTGGGGTTGTTTTTGTTTTTTTAAGTGATGAAGAAAATCATAGCTTTATTTTATCTTGTGTGCTTGATTTTAAGTCTTCCTGTATTTTCTTACAATATTAATGTACCATTTGGACATGCTTGAAGCATTCCACACAGTGCATGGGTTTTTTTTTGTTAATTTTAATTTTGTGTATTTGAAGCAGAAAAAAGTTGTAAAAATAGTTACAAATAAATCTTTTCTTCCAGAAGATTCAACAGAACTCCAAGAGAGGATAGGGAATAATTTTAAATCTTTACTAGAACAATTAACAGGTAAGTAAGAGTTTGGGAATAAACGTAGCCCAGATGACACTTTAAAAGTGATTTTTTTTAAAATGGAGCCTAAGGGTATGTGCATGCTGCAACACTATTTCAGGATACCGGAATGTCCCAAAATAGCTATCCTGCGTCTTCACAGCAAGCCCGTTATTTCAGGCTCACTATTCCAACGTCCCTTGCAACTTTCATTCTACGAGGAATAAGGGATGTTTTGGAATAGCACTTTATTTTGAAATTTGGCACTATGTAGGCACCACCAAATGATGAAATAAGTTATTTCCGAATAGCATTGAAATAAGATACGCAATTTGCATAGCTCAAATTGTGTATCTTATTTCGAGTTAGGGTGCGTCTACACAGCACCATAAGTCAGCCCTAGCCTTCTTTTGATAATGTCATCCTTAAATTGCTGTAGGCTGAGACTGGCATATTCTATTATTTCACTGCTATCCTCCCCCCCCCAAAAAAGAAAAATAGGACCATGGGTTCTCTACCAGTCACACACTGTAATTCTAGGTTTCTGGTTCGTGGTGATCTAAGAATAATCCAAATAATTTAGATGCAGTTTAGAAATACTCTCTCTTTCCTCATTCCAGACACAGATAATTTTGAAGAAAAAAATCAGTCATTACAGATTAAGGTTGTATTTTTAAGCACACAATAGTTTAGTTATACTACTGCAGTGAAGTCAAATGCTCTGGCATGTCGTGTGTGTGTGTGTGTGTGGTTGGTTGGTTGGTTGGTTGGTTGGTTGGTTGGTTGGTTATAATCTAGTATTTATTTAAAGGGGTAGAGAAAACCCTATAAGAATTTTAATCAATTTGTTTGTAATGTTCAAAAGTTACCACCATATGATTGATACCTGATATTTTGTGAAATGGGTTTGAACTGAGTCCGTTTCCCAGCATAGAGGTCTCTGTCTGTCTGTCTGTCTGTCTGTCGCACTAGGGTGCTAACCAGTGTTCCTGTAAGCTGAGTGCTTGGGCGGCTGCCCAGGAGAGATTCAGGTGCTGCCCAGCTGTTTAGCAGAGCTCACCCACAGCCATCCAGAGCCAGCAGCATGTGTTTCTATTGGCAGTGCACATCTGCACTTGCCTTGGTGCACATAAAATTTATTCAGCACATGGGTGGGAAAAATTAGAGGGAACACTGGTGCTAACTGGCAACCTTGTAGCCCAAGCAGAGGGAGCAAGGAGTGAATGAACTTTCCCTTTATGTCATTCTGGTGAAATGCGTTTGGTACTGTCTCAGCTGTACAGGTTGGACCTCCCTTATCCGGCACCCTCAGGACATCACCCGTGCTGAATGAGGGAATTTGCTAGATATGGGGAGTTCCCCTGCCACCAGCCTCCCAGGACGCTCCCCCTCCCTGTGGCTGGCTCCTTTCCCGCCCCCCTGCCCCCGGGAGCCA